GGCTCCCCAGCACTTCGTATTTGAAGGAAAAAATAAGACATCAACATTTTCATCACAGCCCAACGGTTAATTTCAGGTGTCCACTTGGTCAGGCCTTCGTGCACAGATGCTCAAACACCAGTCTGGATGTTGTTACGAAGGTATTTCCAGATGTGATTGACATTTACATCAGTCCAATCGGTTGAAGGCTGGATTTCCCTCATAAGAGGGAAAGACTGAATTCCCTGGGAAGAGGACCTCTGCCTCCAGACTGACCAGACGTGCAAGATCTGTTTTCCCCTGGTCTGAAGCCTACATCTGTCCTGGCCTGGACGTTCAGGGCTCTGTCTCTCTGCCTGTGTCTGTCTCTCAGTCTCTGTCTGTCTCTGTCTCTCTGCCTCTTTCTGTGTATCAATATCTGTATCATCTGTATATGCACACAATCCTATCCATTCTGTTTCCCTGAGGAACCCCTACTAACACACAGACTCAAGTAAAAGTGATTCTGAGAACAAAACTGTTGGGTATGGCGCATATTTTAAATCAATAAAATTTCCAGTTTTTCTCCACCTACCAACAAAGCTCTTAAATTTTCCCCCTTGAATTCTAATGGTTAGAAATGCCTTCTTGAGGGGCACCTGGGGGGGTGCTCAGGAGGTTAAGTGTCCGACTCTTGGTTTTGGCTCAAGTCATTATCTCACAGTTTGTGAGTTCCAGCCCCGCACTGGGCTCCATGTGACAGAGTGGAGCCTGCTTGAGATTTGCTCTCTTTCCCTCTCTATCTGCCCCTCTCACTTTCTCTCTCTTTCTCAAAATAAATAAATAAACCTTAAAAACAAAAGAAAATGAGTGTCTACTTAAAACCAATATGTAAATAAATAAAGCTAGAAGTCCCCTCTATGAAATACCCAGGGTGTGTAAGAGCCCTGATCTCCTGGCCCTGCTGTGGCCCCTCTACTCCCCACCCACCAGTGCCGGGGGCTCTTGAGAGGCCAGCCTCCTGGACTGTGGCTCCCCTTCCCCAGGGGCCCTGGGATCTCAGGATTCTGGAAGAAGAATGCCCTCACAGGCCATAGCTGTACCCAGGAATACCACCCTGCTCAGAGTCGACAGCATGGGCTTCAGAATCCAATGGGCAGGGACCTGCCCACCTCTGTTTCTCCCTTCTGACTGTGGGGGGACAAAGCAAACTTCTAGAGAACATTCCCTGTGTTCTGCTGGTAGCTCCCAGTCTCTCCCATGCCTATATCCACTTGCCCTCCACTGGAAATGAACAGCTCAGAGACCATAGAGTAAATCACCACGAGCCACAAACTAACCCATCACAGGCCACAGACTAAACCACCATAGACTACAGAATAAACCACCACAGAGCACAGACAAAACCACCACAGACCACAGACTAAACCACCACAGACCACAGACAAAACCACCATAGACCATGGACTAAACCACCATAGACCACAGACTAAACCACCATAGACCATGGAATAAACCACCACAGAGCACAGAAAAAACCACCACAGACCACAGACTAAACCACCATGAACCACAGACTAAACCACCATAG